TCCCCGCTGGCGGGGCCACGGGTCGTGGGAGCGCTCCCGGGGCGCCGGCCCTCGCCAGTCGGGTTCGCTCCTGCTCTCCTCGCAGTCCCCGCTGGCCCCGGCCGAGCCGCCCGGTGCTTTCGGGGTCTCAAAGTCCCCGACGCCCTCCCCGAGCTCACGGCATCCTGAGCCCCCGGTCCCCGCAGAGGCGGCCGGAGTGCGGGGCAGCGGCAGCCCTGGGGACGCGGCCTTTGGAGACAGCCTGGGGACAGACTGCCTCCTCGCTCGCGCAGGGTCCCCACCTCTCTGGGCATTGCAGGGGCCGGGGAGCGGGCTGGGCTCGGCTGGCGGGAGCTGTTCTCTCCCTGGCTGGGTCAGAGCTGGCCGGCCAGCCTGGGCCGCATCCCGGAGAAAACGGCAGCCTGTGCCCAGGAGAGCACCTGCCCGCCGCTGCGGGAGCGCGCGGCCCCGGCAAAGGAGCCCTGCAGCACAGCAGCTGTCGAGCCTGGTCCGGCTGCGCTTGGCTACGATTAGCGGGGTGCCGCGGGCGGCACTGGCCCGAGTGACGGTGGGAGCTGAGCCTCCGCTCCCTGCCAGGCCGGGGTTCGATGGCTGCAGGGGCCCTGCTGTTCCCCTGGGATAACAGTGCTGCCTCCTCCGGCTGGCGGGCCGGGCGCAGGGGGACTGGCCAGGGAACACGGCCCAGGAGCAGCAGCCGGCTGCCCTGCTGCGGCACGGGCAGAGCGGGGGCCCTGGGGCAAGCAGCAGTGGGAGCGGTGGGGTCTGGGGGTGCTCGATCGCCGCTGGGGTCTGGCCACGGGCACGCCGCATTCACTCCCGGGTACTCAGCCCTCTTCGGGCAAGGCCGGACCCACCCCTCTGCCGCCGGGCACTCTGTGTTTGGAGGCGCTTTCCCCAGCCTCGGTCTCTGGCCTCCGCTGCCTCTCGTGCCCCAGGAGCCAGGACCGCAGACCCTCGGCCCCGTCCGTCCTGGTGCCTCTGCAGCAGCCTCTGGAGCATGGCTCCCCTCAGGCCACCGCAGAAACCTTCTGGGGGCGTAAGCGCTGGTGGGCTCCGGCAGCAGAAAGCCCCTGTGCATGTGGGGAGAGGCCGCTCATGCAGCAGAAGCTGGACCAGACCCCCAGCGTGCCCTGGGAGGAGGTGGGTGGCCCAAAACAGGACTCCTGCCAAGCGGAGAGGCTTGGGGAAACATGGGGACGGTGCAAGCCTGGGCAGACCCTGCGCCCTGCACGCCGCTGGCCCCCGGGGCTCCCTGCAAGGCCCCTGGGATCTCCCCGGTGGGCCAGGGGCTCTATGCCCACCAGAGCCGTGGGCCTGCAAGCTCGGCTTTGGGGAAGGGGCCCTCCAGCGAGCCCGGGGGCAGGACGGGTTCTGGGCGAGGTGCAGGAGAGATGCTCCACAAGAGCTTTAACCCTCGTGATCTTCTGCTCCTTGCCAGATGCCAGGTCCCAGGCTCGCAGCTCCTCCTTAGCAGAAATCCCAGGTTACTTGCGGTAAGAGTTTGGCACTCGCTGCCGCAGGGCTCCCTGTTGCTTGGTGCGATCTGGCCCAGCCCCAGAGCATCAGGCGGGCTGAGACG